ATGGCGGCCGGAGGTGCACCCATGCCTCCCATGGCGGCCGGAGGTGCACCCATGCCTCCCATGGCGGCCGGATGTGCACCCATGCCTCCCATGGCTCCGAAGCCACCCATGCCTCCCATGGTGCCGAGGCCACCGCCACCCATGGCGTCGAAGCCACCGCCACCCATGGCGCCGAGGCCACCACCAACTATTGCACGAACCAAGGCTCTTTTTTGGATCAAGACTTCTTGTTGGGCAAGATTGACATACTCTTTTTGCGCCGCATTGAGGTTAGATGTGTCCAAGAAGAACAAGTGCTTCTCCCATTCCAACAACTTAGCTCGCTCCTTGTTGCTCACTTTCCTCTCCTCCAAAGCCACCTTTCTCTCCTCGGCTGCCACCCTTCTCTCCTCGGCCGCCAACCTCCTCTCCTCGGCCACGGCATCTTGGTTCCTTGCCATTTTCCTCACCTCATTGGCTTCGACCCTTGCCTTCACAATAGCTTCCATAGCATTTTTGAGCTCATCATCTCCTTTCCTCTTCTTCTTTTCGGTTTTGTCTTTCTTGCACCCATCCGGTCATTTTGGCTTCGAGTATGAAACCGAATTGGGTGTGGGGCTTCTCTTGCCGTCATCACTTAATGCATCATCCTCCTCATCATCATCATTCATCTCAATTGCTCGCTTCCGTTTGTTGATCAAATGCAAATCCTCCAAACCATCACGCTTCTTCCATTTCTCATCATCCTTTAACACTTCATAGCAATGAGGCAAGGTAAAGACCCTGCCTTTCTTGATCTTCCCCTTCTTGGTTGTCCTTATCTCTTCTTTGAACAAGTTTTGTGCAATGTTGTACTACAAGAAAAACAAAACAAGTTAGCACTTCGGTCACCAAAAACAAGTATGATGAACATATATGAGATGCCACTTACTCAATCATCCTCATTTGTGCCACTTGGGTTAATCTTGTCAACTGCCTTTTGTACGGCCGCCCACTTTTGACAACCCGAGTTGATTGTCGACCATCGGGACCGAAGTGATCTCTCGGAGCGGTCAATTCCACTCAAGTTGTGAGCATCAAAGTGTTCTTTCATTCACCCCCAATACGCGTCTCTACTTTGATCACCTCCAATGGATGGATCCCTCGACACTTGCAAATAAGTATGGCATAGTAACTTGTCATCGTTGGTTGAGTAATTGCCCGATCTTCCTTTCGGCGCCTCGACAATTCCCTCACCCTCCTCGTCCACCTCAAACTCATGGTCTTCGAAATGGATGTCATTGGTTTGAGACCAATGCGAATTGTTGGACCCAACACCCATAGTGGACATGTATGCATCATCGTTGAGACTACAAAGTTTTTTGAACAATGCAAATAAGCTATCTATATGTGATGATGATGCATTGAAAAAATAAGAAGAAAAGAAAAGTTGGAAATTTTTTCACCTTGGGGCATTTCGTCGAACACGTGGTGCGCGTCTGCGGCCGGCTCAACGAGTGAGCTCGCCGGCGCTTCGGTAGCCGCCGCGGCCGTCGAACGCCCTGCAAGCTTCTTTCCCCTCGCCTTCGTGGTGCCGGAGCCGTCCGTCGCCTTGTTTTTCTTCGCGGATGTTTTGCCCTTCTTCGTCCGCACCGCATTGGGGACCTTCTTCGACGGTGCGGCGGCGGCACGGGACGGCGCCGGCGCGACGCCACCCGGCGCCGTGGTCATCCGCGGCGGCAAGAAGAGGCTGCGCGCGAGGCCGACGCTCGGCGGAGCTCCGGCGGTGGCGACGCCAGCGCTTTCCGCGCTAGGGTTTCCGGCGGCGGCGGCGGCGGGGGGGTCGCGGCTGTACAGCGGGGTGAGCGGGGCGCCGGTGTGCGCGTCCATGGGTGGGTGGCAGGGCGCCGGCGCCGGCGCGCGCGGGGCGTAGGAAGAGGAGAGGAGAGAGTGCGGCGCGAGCGCTCGAGTGTGCCGCGCGCTGTAGCTGGCGCCCGAAATACGCCGCGCGGGTAAGTGTTTTCAACCGCGCGCTGTAGCTGGCGCCCGAAATACGCCGCGCGGGTAAGTGTTTTCAACCGCGCGCCAAACCTGTTATAGCGCGCATGCCGTTTTTGCGCGCTCGCTGGAGCGACCCGCCGCATTACGCGCGCGCTAAAACGGTCTAATTTGCGGCGCGGCGCGGCGCTAGTTTCGCGCGGGCTGTTGGAGATGCTCTTAGGAGCGTTTTACCGCTTCGTCGTGTGGTGGCGAGAGGCTCTTGTCGCGTCATGTGAGTGGACAAGTGCAGACATGGCCATCGCTCGCCACATGAACCGTGCGCATATACATCCCAGTATATTTATCCATCTCCTGTTCAAAGCGCGGCCGCGCCTCAATTTCAGCAAGTAGTCCACCAAGCAGTGCGTGACAGATGGCATACGGATCTGTCTGCAAAGCCAAAATAAGCACCCCTCGTCGTGATTAAGCTAGATCAGGCATGAACTCAATTACGACGAAAGCTGATGACAACTGAACCGTGGCACTGGAAACCAAGCCGGCCACCTCATTGGCATTGCAAGTTTGGTGCATGCATGAGCTGTCCGGCAGGGCAACCACATGACATGAACCAGCAGGATGATGGACTCACTTGATTGCTGTAGCATAGACGTCGCCATCAGCAAAGGTGCAATGGATAAAGGAAACAGAGAGAGAAAGGAAAACCTATCAGCAAGAATGACAAGAGTTTCTAACCATGGCAGATCTTTTCTTGTGGACAAATGCAACATAATATGGTAGCCCTGACGGAATCCCCTCACCTACCTGCTACGCTAAATCAATGGAACATGTTCCTTGGTCTTATTCTAGGCTTTCACCACCTTTTACGCGCAAAGTACCTCACAGTTTATCTTGGTAGGGCATTTATCTTGATTGAAATCGCCCATCAGCCACTGCACTGTGCCACCGAGTGAAAGGTCAGCTAGCTGTATCGACCACCGAGACTGAACTCTGAAGACATGGCTGTGTTCTTTTTGTGAAACGAGCTGGGGGGCAGGTTTGGTGCAGAGCTTACTTCACAAGACCCACCACACCACCGGGCATCCACTCTGCACTACACTAGACAAAAAGTTGTATTATACGCTCACCTTCCATCCCGGATGTCGGATGGTCATACAGTTGGCCGGCGCTTGGACATGGTACACCAGTTTGTGGGTGCCTTTCCATACCGAACTCGTGACCTTTTCCTTCCATTCGTCAGAGTCATACGTGCTTCATTTTCTAAAAGCTATATTCATACGTGCTTACCTAATCCCTAGTAAGAACATTGTGCTCCACGTTTTACTTACGAGTTGTCGAGTTCCCTGGCAGTCTTGGCAGTGTCACTCACACAACTTACGCCATGTACGTCGACAGCATCTCCTGACCAAATCGTCTCCATCAGCCTAAGCAAACCATGAGGCGCATGACACGTCGATCCCCGCGAAGAAAAACTAGCCAGAAAGGCAGTGGGATAGGTAGTTGAGGCCGCTCTTCACAGGCTCCACAGCAACAAGAATGTACCACTCATCCGTCATCTCCCTGCACAAAGAAGCAGAGGCATCGAGCTCGAAGCGTGCTCCAGGGGAAATGCAGCTTCGGAAGAAGCCACTTTGTCTCCGGTGGGGTGGGGTGGTGGGACAGAACTTAACAGCCCAACCGCTAGAACCGGGAGAATTTCGGCTTTGAGCTTGACACCCTGCCTTCTTCCCTCCTCCGCCTCCGCCCGGCTGCCCACCTCGCCGAAAGAACCACTCGCGCTGCAATGTCCTTGACGCTAGCTCTGACCCCTCAACGCGCTGACCAAACTGTCCGCATATTCACCTCATTGCAAACAAGATCTTGGGCCAGAGAATGGAGATAGATAGCCGCCACTGAGCTTCATTTCGCTGGCTCTCTTTTCTCTTTCTGCTCTGCCGACTGCCTGTATCTCTGCCTCATCTGTTGTGTACCACAGGTTTAAGCCGCTTATCCAGGTTAGTGCATCTATTGTTGTTTGTAGTCTTGCAGCATTTTCCTGTTTGTTTTTTTGGGTTCCTGGTTGAGCTGTGTAACTTAATCATGTTTCTTTTCTTTTCAGTTGATGTAGTCTGTAAGATTAACCATTTCTTTTCTTTTCCATCTCTCTTTTTCGATGATACTAGCTCGGACCTCGGAGCCGCCCATTGCTACGGAATCATAGTTAATTTAGTGGAAAGGCTAGTTGAAGCATGTTTAAATTTGTTTTCTTTATTTTTTTGAAAAGAGGGTTTAACCCCTGGCCTCTGCATCCATCGATGCAGAAACCCTCAATTAATTGTTGCAACGTTTACAACCATCCACCAAGTCTCAAAAGTAAAACATGTTTAAATTTGTTTCTGTGTCTGGCTTTGATATTTTTTTTCCTTATTATATGAACATGAAAATTTCCCGGATAAAAGGAAGAATATGCAACTTTGGTACAATGGTGTGATTCTATATGTAAAACTTGTAATGATATTATGTGCAAGTGTATGTATAATTATCTGTTAAAATGGAATAACTCTATTTCACATTTTCACTGGCAGAACTTTGCAAGACAGGTGAACCTTGACTACAAAATCAATCACTTTTCTAAACAGCTTAGAGTTTCATTCAGGAATCAGGACCAACTGAACTAGTTCACCAAAAAGTATAACTTGATATACATTAGCAATATGACAAACAAATATTCCCAGTTATGAGCCGTCAAAATTCTTTAGAAAGTCATGAAGTTGAAACTTACTCAAAGTACCAACCTTCCAATTTCCCAAACCGGCTCGGTGTAAGTCAAATTGGTTTGGTAGATTCATGAAGATATGCTAATATGCATTATTAGTTCAAAAAAGTTAGTGAGTCTTTTGCAAAGTTCAAGCGGTAAAATGGGCAGGTTGCCGAATATAGTAGACTGTGACTAAGTTACCCCATTGCCAGGTTGAGAAGAGTGATTAGCTAAGAACTTTGCTCTCATGAAGAGTACCTGGTGATTCCTCTCAAGAGAAGGTGTACTAAGAAAGCATACAGTAACAATGGCTGAAATGGAAGATGCTCTGAGATCCTGCATGGAGCAGCTGCTCGTCGCCAGAGAAGAGCGGGATCAAATCATCGTGGAAGCAGCGAGCGAGATATCCTCCCAGCAAAAGAAGCTGCGTGATCTGCAGCACAGCCTCGAAGCCGCGAACAAGAAGGCCGCGAAGCTGGCTGCCGAGAACAACAGCCTCTGCAAGGCCATGGACGCCAAGGACAAGCTTGTCAGGGAGCTCAGGGAGTCCAAGGCGGCCTCCGACCAGGAGCTCTCCGGCGCGGCGGCGAAGCTGGACGCGGCGCAGAAGCAGAGCGCGTCGCTGCAGTACGAGGCGCGCATGCTCCAGAAGGAGCTGGAGGTGAGGAGCCAGGAGCGGGAGTACGACCTCAGGTCCGTGGACGCCGCCCGCGCGCAGCAGGCGGAGAGCCTCAAGAAGATCGCGCAGCTGGAGGGCGAGTGCCAGCGGCTGCGCGCCATGGTCCGGAAGCGCCTCCCCGGGCCGGCGGCGTTGGCCAAGATGAGAGACGAGGTCGAGCCGCAGCAGCAGACGCCGCCGTCCAGGGCCGGGGCCAGCCCGAGAAGGCCGCGTTCCGTGACGCCGACGGCGTCGCCGCGCTCAGTGACGCCGATGTCTCCGCGGTCCGGGACGCCGCGGCGCGCTCCGGAGCCTGATCAGAGCTACGCCGTCAGGCTGCGCGCGATCGAGGACGAGAACAACGTTCTGAAGCGGATGCTGGCGGCCAGGGACACCGAGCTGCAGTTCACGCAGACCAAGTACGCGGAGGAGGCCAGTAAGCTCTCGGCGGTGCAGGGGCAGCTCAAGGAGCTGACGGAGGAGAGCAGACGGCTAAGCGATGCACACGCCAAGTCCGAGACGTGGGCCTCTGCTCTGGTGTCTGAACTGGACCAGCTCAGGGCTGGGAAGCAGGGACATGGAGCATCGTCCGTCATGGTCTCCGACATGAGCTTGCTCGATGACTTCGCCGAGATGGAGAGGTTGGAGATGGCATCATCAGCGGATCATCAGACATCAGGACATTCGGGACCCGTCGTGCCCGACAAGAACGGCGAGAGTCTGGACCTAGAGCATGGTCATCCTGAATGGCTGCAGGATGTCTGGAAACTGGTGACAAGTAACCATGAAGCAACTGGAGAAAGCATCGACGCCATTGTTGATGGAATAAGGCGTGCATTGGACGAGGGTCCAGTTCATGGGAATGGAGATGCTTCTGATCTGCCGTATGATAGGACCAAAGTGGAGGAACTGATCGGCAATCTGATTGACAAAATCACGTCCACGATTCGGGTTTCGGCAGAAGACCATGCTGCGAGATCTGAATCTTTGTTGCAGGCCAAGCCTGAATTTTGTGCTCGCCTCGAGTACCTGGTTCATGTCTGCCATGATGTACTACAGATGAAAGCCAAGCTTGAAGATTTTATCGACGAGATTTGCCTGGTATTGGAGTATATAATGAGCATATACTTCTCGAACCAAGTTCGATCGGACACCGTGGACGGTAACGAAAATGACTTTGATGCACATGGTGAACCTGACATGCAGAGTGCAACATCAGCAGCAGCTGTAGATATCCAAACAGAAGCACAAAAGGAACAGATTCAGTCACCGGAAGGTGAACACCCTGAAAAAATTCAAGAGAGACAGATTATTGAAGAACTTGCAATGGCCATGCTAGATCAGAATGGTGATATCCAACTGGGAAGGAAGTCGTCATACTATGAGATAGAAAGGTAATAACAGTGCAAGCAGCTACCGAACAGCTAAACAGGGCTTCCTTTCAACTACTATTACTGAGTGATTTTCAGTTAATTTTTTTGTTCTTTGTAATGCAGCGTCACTGCTGATGGAATGGGGGAGGACTTGGCACAAAAGGAGGCAAAACAACTGGCAACGGTAAGTTCTCATGTTTCTCTTTCGTTCAGAAAAAAGAACATTCTGGCTGTTGCAGAACTAGCTATACCTGATATTTTTCACTTCAGCTTTATCTCATTTCATTTAAAGGTTACTACCTGATATGTTATACTACGTCACAATTCTCTCTTTTCATCTATATATTTAATCATCAGGAATAAGATTTGACAACATTTGCGCTGCAATGCAGGACTCAGAGATATCTGCAGCAGCTGACAAGCTTGCGGAGTGCCAGGAGACCATCACGACTCTAAGCAAACAATTGCAGGCTCTCCAGACTCAGCCGAATTCAGGCATTCCAGATGCCTCAACGCACAGCCCACGGCCGAGCTCCGCCGACTACAAGCCCCAGTCACTTGGAAGCATCCTTGCCGACGAGGGCGCCGGCACAACCGAGGGTCACATCTCTCCCGAGAAAGAACATGGCGAGCCTGACGCTGCAGCACGGAAGAGCACGGCACAGGAGCAGAATCCTGACGCCGACCGGAAGGCGTCGGCGGCGCAAACTGTCGTTCAGCCATTGGTCCCGGAGCGTGAGACTGCTGCTGATCCTCGGAAGAAGAAGCGGGGTCCGGGCTTGCTGGGCAGGATGATCTTCAGGAAAAGAGTGGAGGGCAACTCCTCCTAGACCCTGTTGAACCGTGCGAGTGTGTGTGCGATCTGGCCCTAGTGCTACGGTGCATCCTTTCTGGCCAAATGTTCCATTGCACTGGCAGAGTCGAAGCCTGGTGTTGAGAGACTCTGGGACATGCTGTTTATTGATTTTGTTGTTGTTGACATGAACCTGTTTTCCGTATGAGTATTTATGGAATGCATTGTTGTGCAAATGTTTATTTAATAAAGATCATGCAATTATATTTGGAGTGTTCTATATTTTATCCTCTACTAGCACCAATGCCCGTGCGTTGCAACGGAGAAAACAACGATTCCTATTGACCACGTTGCTGAGCCGAGAAACTGTATCGCGGGATAACGATCGCCGATGAGAAAAAACGTTGAATCATTTGAGGACAACAACAATCAAACCAACTTAGATTAACAATTTGCATCACCAACAATAGCAAGCAAACCAAGCTACTCCCTCCGTTCCAAAATAGATGACCCAACTTTGTGCTAAAGTTAGTACAAAGTTGAGTCATCTATTTTGGAACGGAGGGAGTAGATGGATACCAATTGCGAAAAACTTCCATAATTTAACATATCTATTTGGTCAAATGCAACTTCATCATGCAAACCTGAAGAGTTTCGTAAATAATCAGTCATTGATTTCACATTGAATTAAATTGCATATGTAGGTAAACTATAATTGCGGCGAATGATACAAAATCTGGACAGAATATTATGCAGAATGGGAGGGCCAATATGGCCAAAGGTTAAACATAGGACATCAAGCTTTTGGTCAAACCACATCCAATTTGGGATAAAATCTGGGGTCTCAAAGTGCCCGCGAAGGTAAAAATCTTTCTTTGGAGAGTTATGCATAATACTATTCCTTGTCGTGTTGCTCTGACGAATCGTCATATTAAAGTGAGCGGGCAATGCCTAGTATGTGAGATTGGAGCGGAAGACATTAAGCATCTCATGTTCAAGTGTAGCCGAGCAAAGCACGTATGGCAAGCACTGGGTATTGATGACTTAATTGAGAAATTTTGTCTTGCTCATCGTCCAAGACAGGCTATTCTAGAGGAACTGTTGTACCCTGATGAGTCTATGATTTTGGGACAAGCCCCACTGGCAGAACTTGTTGCAGTGGCATGTTGGTATTTATGGTGGGAAAGAAGGCAAATTAGTCGTAATATTCAGGTGCAGTCCCCAGAAAGATCTGTGATAGCAATCAAGGTGTTATTTTCAAACTTCAGGTCTGCTGCCATTCCTAATGCAAGGGTGAGAAAGGAGAGATGGGCTCCTCCAACAGGTGTTGTGTCAAGATAAATGTTGATGCTTCCTTTGACCCAGACATTCTGAGGGGAACTACGCGTGCAGTCATTCGTGATAAAAAGGGGAAGTTCATCGCCGCGTGTAATGCACGTTTGGATATGGTTCAAGATGTTCTGTCGGCTGAAGCTTTGGCGCTCAAAAACAGCTTGTTCTTAGCTGAATCCATGGGTTGTAATAGAGTTGTTGTGAGTTCTGATAATAGTGAGTTAATAGAAATTATGAAGAACGAGAGGCCCCCTACAGGTATTGCTGCAGCGATTTATCATGATTGTTTTTCTATGGAGTCAGACTTTGTTAGGGTTAAATATGAGCATGCAAATAGGGAAACAAATTCTGTAGCCCATGAACTAGCACAGTTAGCTAAATTCCAGACCAGTAGGGTCGGGATGGATGATCCTCCCCCCTCTATTGTACCTCTCATGATGAATGATGTAACATTATTATCTATTGAATAAAGAGTTTTTTTAGGTCAAAAAAAATTGCGGCAAATGAATTGCGGACTTTAGATAGAAGTAGCAAAATACACGTGGAAGCAAGCAAAAAAAATCATCAAAGCAAAGGTGTGAAAAAAATAGCATGGATAAAAATCAGTGGTAGAAGACTACCTTTGGTTTGAGGGTTAGTGAATGCAGTCAGATATTTTATGTACCTTTTTGTTTTGTGATCCAGTTACATGTAATCGATCGGTTTACTATAATGGCTGTGTTTTTGGAGTCTCCTGCGAGAGAACATGTGCTGCCATATATGCATGCCCCACGCGAATCCATAGCCATAATTTGTTTAATTAACTCGCCATTATAATTAGCCAATCATAATTATATGTGTCATGCATGTCTCTCGGAGATTGCCATATACTTCGTTTAATTAGGCCAACATTAATTAGCCAATCATAATTATATGCAGCATGATGTCTCGTCTCTTGGAAATCCCATTCAATTAGGCCACCATTAATTACCATAATCTGTTTAATTAGCCCACTATTAATTAGCCAATCATAATTATATCCATCATGTCTCTCCCTCGGGAATCCCATTCAATTAGTACACCATTAGTTACCTCATTCTCTTCCTTTTCTTATCTCTTTTTCTCACGTTTTCCCTTTCCATATTATCTCTCGCCATGTTGTTTGAAATCCCAAATCCTCAATCTCTCCTTATTGAAACCTGAATACGTATGAAGGACACGGCCGACGAAAGATGGCAAAAGGAAGCTATCCGCTTTCTTTTCAGGCAACAGGTGCTAGATTAGTTGGTTTACTTGTGCAACCTATATCTCGGGAACCAGGGTTTGATTCCCTTCAAGCACAAATTGATCTTTTGAGGCTACGTGTGCACACAAATGCCTGGTGTGTAAAAAAAAAAGAACGCGACGTACGAAGGTGCAAACGACCGACAAAAAAGGCGACGTACGAAAAACACTATAACGGACAAAAAAGATGGAGAAACAATCCGTCCTTTAATATTAGGTAAAGAATTATGATGTTATTATAGTATTTGGAGTGAAGGATGGTAGGAGGTGCTGCCCCGGCGGACGGTGCCGTCCAACGTCACCAGCCTTGCCCCCTCGTCCCATCCCAGTTTGGCTCTTTGGTAGGCGTTGCAGATGCCTCGCTTCAGAGCACCATTCGGCTGATTACAGGATTCCCTTACGGTGCTCTTTTGTTTGAAGAACCGTTATTGGGCGTATAGTTGCCGCAATCCTTGGTGTTCACTCAGCTCCCTGGCATGCCATGCTGTGCAGCCAGTGTCCCACCCCGAAGCTTAGCATTGTCAAGCTCCATCTTCTTGTGGGGATTTGATGGAATCCACGCTTCCCTTCAAGGAGCTTTGTCGTGGGTCCTTGGCGTCATCGTTTCTACCCACATTGGGTCGACAACCCCACCTGATGTGTTGTTGTAGTCCGTTCTAGTAGCTTAGGCTGAGTTGTTGGCTCGTGTTGGGAGCTTTCTGGAGCGGGCGGAGGCTGCTCTGAGCAGGCTCTGTCTTTGGTCGGCAGTTGCAGGCCACTCCTACGTCGTCCTCGTATCGAGGTCGATGTTGTTGGTGGCTCACTGGAGAAAAAGGGTGGAGAGCTCCATGGTTGTTTCTCCCCTCGAGGTCGGGACAAGTTATCATTGGTGTCTTCCTTGTCCCCAGTGTTGTCTATTGTTGCAGGCGAAGCCATCGTTGTGCTCATGCCCCCGGTACTGCAGATCATGCTCGAGCTTCAGGTGCTATGTGCAAGCTCTGCTTCATCTTTGACAGTGGAGCATACGAATGTAGACTTGCCAGCAACCACATGTGAGGGATATGATTCAACCCCATCATGGAGCAGCAGGAGGTAAATTTGCCCGGGCCCTCATATGTGGCTTCAGGTCCGCCCCACCATGGCCGGTGCATAATCTTGATGCACTATTCACAAAAGATCTTTGTGACTTGCTTGTTAGCTTGGAGGCTGCTAGCCCTGGATTAGGAAGGGCGATTGATTGCCTCCTGGTGGAAACGACTAGCAAGCGCAAATGCAACAAGGTAGTCATTGCCCTCGAACCAGCATACTAAAGGATAAGTCACTCAGATGCAAAGGCAAGAAGAGTGGCGCCATAGGAAAGGTGCCCACAACAGCTTAATGGACGATTTACGGTCTCTCATCTTGTCCTCGTGGTTTGGGTCGTCACTGTGGTTTTGGTGTTGTCCATTGTCTTTCATCGAGATGTGTTCACCAGGGGTTCCGTTGCATTATACAAGCGTCGCACGTTGTGGTTATTGTGTGTTGAGAGGGTTTGACGTGGTATTGTGTTTGTGGGGTCTCGTGATTGATGAGTAGTATAGTTATGGTATGATTGTATTGATTTTAGCCCGGTTTTCATAAATTAACTGGACAATTCTCTTCTTAATTAACCAACGAGGCAATTCTTTTCCCCCCATTTTGAAAAAAATAAAATGTATCCCTTTAAAAACTCATGTCACATATTAGTTGTTAGTTAAAACAATCTGTAAATTTATTCTTGTCCTGTCCACATTGGACAAAGTTAACTAACTATAGTATCTAAGTATAAATACTAACAAAAAGGAAAAAAGAAGGGTTTTTTGTAGGAAGAAAAAAGAAGGATTGATGATCTACGGTAATAGATATCTCACATACAACTAGATAAATTAAAGCAATTCCATATTTTTGCGGGTGAGAAGTAACATACCTTTTGAACCTTTCAGTGTTTTTTTAATCTCATTTTGTTATTTCTCCAAACTAACGAACCAGACCCCACATGTTAGGATGACGTGGTAGGATAACTGGGAAGATAACTCGCCGTAAGTGGGTCCGTCTTGTCAGATGATACAAAAACGTAAATAAAATAAAAGTGTCACAAGGTCATAACTAAGAGAAAAAACATGGCAAAAAAACTTAACAGGGTAAAAGTTATCAGAAAGACACAACTTTTTTTATATCTTTGCTATACTATAAAGAAGACAAGTGGTTGTGGTGGTACATCGCCTTCTCATCCCATACACGTAAGACCTCTTTTGACAAATTCCCACACCTGGCCTAAGAGGCAATGTACTACGGTTGTACAACTTGTACTAATCAGGTCTTCATCACCAACTCCTTGCACAATTCAAAACCGAATAAGATATTTTCTTGTTCCTCCGTTGAGATTTTGCTTTGTTCCCTTCCATTTAATGTAAAAAGATAAAGAATATCACACGTTTCAAAGTT